TCTTTTTATACCAATCATGTTGTCAATTGACCTAATTAGTGTTAATTGGTCTTCCATCTGTTCGTTATATGCTCAACTTCCTTTTTCCAGCCACTTATTGCTACTTGTCCCAACTTTTTTGGGATTTGTTGAAACTGTGAAATTTTGAATCAACATATTTTTCCTTTAAAATGTTACATTTACTCAGATTAAACTTTTGATCTGTCATCTATGTTACATTACGAATAAAATATTGACATTTGCCACCTCCACATCATTGCATTCAGTTTTTATTCACAATTTGTTTAGTATCCCAACTTTTTTGGAATCTGGTTTGTATATGTGTATATATATATATACATATATATATATATATATATGTGTGTGTGTGTGTGTGTATATATATGTATATGTGTGTGTATGTATGTGTATATATATATATATATATGTATATCTGTGTGTATTTATCAGAGTCAGAGTTTCTTTATTGTCATTCGCACCTCATGTGGTACATGTGTTGGAGCGAAATTATGTACACGGGGTCCCAGGTACATCCAACAATAAAATGTATAAGAAAAACAGTAATAACATCTAAGATATGAACTAAGAAAAACATCAACTAAATATACACTAAGCACTCATAACATAAAAACATTGAACATCAGCACGAACATGAGTCTGTGAGCAGATGTGCACGCATGAACACATCAACATTGAAACAGATCAGCAGCAACATGAAACAGATCAGCAGCAACATGATATGGTTTTTCACAGTGATTATTCTAGTTAGAGATTCATGAGTCTAACAGCCTCAGGGTAGAAGCTGTTCCTCAGTCTAGTGGTTCTACACTTAATGCTCCTTAACCTCCTTCCTGATGGGAATGGGGCAAAAAGTGTGTGTGCTGGGTGAGTGGGGTCCTTCATGATGCAGGTGGCCCTCTTCCTGCATCTGGAGGTGTAGATGTCTGTGATGGTGGGGAGGCTGATTCCGACAGATTTCTGTGCAGCCTTCACCACTCTCTGCAAAGCTTTTCTTTCTGCAGCTGTGCAGCCTCCATGCCACACATTGATGCTCGAGCACAGGATGCTCTCCACTGCACACCTGTAGAAGGAGGTGAGGACTGAGCTTCCCAGACCAGCTCGTCTCAGCCGTCTGAGGAAGTAGAGTCTCTGATGAGCTTTCTTGATCAGGCTGGTGGTGTTGTTGCTCCAGCTGAGGTGGTTGTTCATGTGTACACCCAAGTACTTGTAGCTGGAGACCACTTCCATCACAGATCCTCTTATGTTCAGGGGGGTGTAGATGTTTTTGTTCCTTCTGAAGTCCACAATCATCTCCTTTGTCTTCTTCACATTGATGTGAAGGTTATTCTCT